AAATAAAAAAAAAAAGAAGAAGAAAAAGAAAACATTAGATTATATTTAATATAACAATGGAATAAATATTAAAATTATATAAATGTTTTTGATAATTTACAAATGTTAATTACATATTTTATTTTTTATATTTATCATTTTTAAAGATTTGTATACTAATGTTTCAGTGGACGTCTTCAAACTCCCACAACTCCAACTACGCCATCTGCTACTTCTAGTTCTAGTCGATCATCACCTGGAGGAGATTCCACACCATCTCCGTCTCAGTTATGTGCAGTGTGTGGGGATAACGCTGCTTGTCAGCATTACGGTGTACGCACATGTGAAGGTTGTAAAGGTTTCTTTAAAGTAAGTGACACATCATTTATAATAATTTATGTTTTATTTCATTAATTAGATACAGAAAGATTCAAATATAATTTTATACAAATGTGATACTTTTTTTTAACAGCGTACGGTTCAAAAAGGTGCAAAATACGTGTGTCTGGGCAATAAAGATTGCCCCGTGGATAAGCGCCGACGTAACCGTTGCCAATTCTGTCGGTTTCAGAAATGCCTTGCAGTTGGAATGGTGAAAGAAGGTAGAATTTGAATTTAAAATTTAATACATAAAATATACTGAATAAAATTAATTAAAGAATAATCAGCAAGGACTGTATAATTTCAAGATAAATAGAGATGAATAAATTTTGAATTTATTTATCTTTCTTATAGTTGTAAGAACTGATAATTTGAAAGGAAGAAGAGGAAGACTTCCTTCCAAACCAAAATCACCACAAGAATCCCCTCCTTCTCCACCTATTAGTTTGATAACTGCTTTAGTTCGAGCTCATGTTGATAATACTCCTGACATTGCCAATTTGGATTATTCCCAAGTATGTTTTATAGATTTTATTAACTTTAATATTAAAATTTAAAAATTCTTACCTTTAATTTATATGGATCATTAGAACAATTTGAAATAATCAAGAATGCTATTCCTGCATTCCATTTAATTTGTATAATTCAATAATTTAAATTAAGATATTTTTCATTTTAAAAATCTTGTTATAATCTGTGAAATATTAATATTTTTGTTTAATTTTTAGATAGCATGAATTTTAGAATAAATATTTATTCTTTCATTTGTCAGCTGTAAATAAGATAATTTTTAGATATTTTTTAAAAATCAATATATTTTCATGGATAAATTTCAAACACTTAAAAATATTTTAATAGAAAAATATTTAAAAATAGCTTCAAAATCAAGATCATAAGATATGTGAATGTATCTTATGATTCACAAATACATAATTATGGTTATTGAAAAAAGTTTTGATACAGAATACCAAAAGGTGATACACCTATAAAAACATTAATATCATTATTAATTTAAAAAATGTATTGTTTCTTAAATAGAAGAATTAATCATCCAAATTATTATTAATTGCAATAAACAGAAAAATGAATATCTGTAAATTATCCATGATATAAATATTAAAATTAGAATATATTTCTTAGGTATTTGACTTATGAACTCTACATCATGTTAATTTATCTTTACTTTTAATGCAGTACTATATTAGTAATTTTTTATAGTATAAGGAACCAGTACCTGGTAAAGAATCCCCAACAACTGAAGCAGAAAAGGTTCAACAATTTTATAATCTTCTGACTTCATCCATTGATGTCATACGAATGTTTGCAGAAAAAATTCCTGGCTTCCTTGAATTAGATAAAGATGATCAAGAACTTTTATTTCAATCTGCTAGTCTGGAAATGTTTGCTTTACGTTTAGCTTACAGGTAATAATAATAATTGCAAATTTGACTCAAGGAATTGTAATATATAGTCTGTTTTGTAGAATATGAGGAAAATTATGAGGATTTCTTTTATTTTTATACTGCATAAACTGTAAAATAAATAAATAATTTCAACTTAGAATAATATTTATGAAATAAATTAACACTGAAAATGCTGTCTTTTCAATGTTATCTATGTTTAAGGACGAAAAGAAATGTTCTCGCAATTATTTTCAACTTTTTCAAAACATCTTCATCAGGCGAATGGCAAAAGAACATTGTTCAATGTTGTGATAAAATTTAAAATTTTTAACATTAGCTCATTCTAGATGGGACGTGATGAAACTATTTTAATATTTACTATTATTAAAATAATTTGAATTAATTATAGTTTATTTTTTTAATGTAGAAACATTTTACTATATAAATATAAATTATTATATTATATATCAAGTAAATATTAATGTTATTAAATAATTATATATATTTACATAAATAAATTATTTAAATTTTACTTTAATATTTAAGTAAATATAAAGTCATTTAGTCACATATTTTTAAATATTAAATGCTCATCTAACACTTCTTATATTTGTTTTTTTAAATATTAATCTGACATATAAAATATTGATCACTGTTGCTTACGTGCATTACTTTGTTTTAATACAGAAAATACATTTCAAATCTAAGGATTTTGTTTGTTTATATTCTTCATATTTATTTATATTCACTTATTTACTATTGTCAAAATTAAAAACAAAATATGACCTTGACCTTAATAACATATAAACATTTTTTAAGTGTTTCAACAAGTAATATGATAACAGATTCCTATAGTTATTTCACAATAAAGTTTTGATAAAAAAATTCAAAGTATTTTTTAAAATTTTGTTTATTTTTTTGCCTATTTTATTAAATTATATGAGACATACTTAATGACTATCTGAAGGATTATTATAAAAAAAATTAATGATATTTTTTACAATTTAGATAATAATTTCCAAATTCATTAATAATAAAGATATTTGATATAAAAACAGTAGAAACTGTACATATTTTTTAAAAGAAATTGTTGCATTTATACCATTTGCTTCTTTCGTATTTAGAAAACAAACACACACACATACACCCCCCGTCACATATATAAGAATTCAAATAAAAAATAATAGTAATTATTGATTCACAATGTATTTAATTTTAATGGGCTTATATATATTACTGAATCTGAGATATGTGAAAAATGAATCAATAACAATTATTAGTTATTTAAAAATTTTATACTTAAAAATATATCAAGAACTACACAATTAACTTTAATTTAAACTACTTCAAAGAATAAAGAGTGAGAAGAATTAATTCTATTATAAAACAATTACTGAAACTTTTATAAAATTTTTTATATTTATTTTATTCCTTCTTTTTCAGGATCAAACCTGATGATGAAAACTTTATTTTCTGCAATGGTATTGTACTTCACAGGGAACAGGGTCAACGAAGTTTTGGAGAATGGATGACAGCAATTTTAGATTTTTCACGTAGTTTACATAATATGGAACTAGATATATCTGCATTTGCCTGCCTGTGTGCCTTGACATTAGTGACAGGTAATAAAAAATAATAATTATAACTTTCAGTTAACTATTCATCTTTGAATAGAAACAAAACATCACTTGAAAAATTACATATTTTTTATTAAAAAAAATGTCTTTGAAGTACAAAAATTTAAAACAATTTCATTCCGTAGAGCGGCATGGCTTAAAAGATCCTCAAAAAGTTGAACAACTACAGATGAAAATTATTGGTTCTTTACGTGATCATGTGACTTACAACAGTGAAGCCCAAAAGAAACCATATTACTTCTCTCGCATCTTAGCAAAATTACCTGAGCTTCGTACACTAAGTATGCAAGGTCTGCAACGCATCTTCTATGTGAAGCTCGAAGATTTGTATCCTGCTCCCCCACTCATTGAAAATATGTTTGTATCAAGTCTCCCATTTTGAAATCAATATTCATAAACTATTTAAAGTAGCTTGAAAGCTGCTAGTTAAACATCATCTGCCAAGAAGATTCCCATCATCCTAAACATATATAAGTAAAAATTACATCTGCAATGTACTTAGTTAAATTTAAAGTGCTATAATGAATGGAAAAAGAAATAAGTTTTTATTGACTAAATTTAAAGATCCATCATAAAGACTTTATATAAGAAATGGAATAATGCAATTATGGATAGACATTATTGATAATGAGATGAGATCTGATTTGCCATCTATAGTAGTAACTATATAGTCATATGTATATTTATAAGTGAGCTTTGAAAAGGATATATTGCCCTTGATATTTGTTATCCCCAAAACGTACAATCATGAAGGAAAAAGCTTGCATTTATGCCAGTAATTATACATATAACATTTAATGTTTAATATTATATGAATAATTACTAACAGGCAATAGTAATTACATAAGAAAGTATTTATCTCAGATTATTCTAATCTGAATTCTGACATAAATATGCAAGCTTTCCTGCCTTCTATAATCATCTGATTATTATACTAGTCAGATTCTAAGTGTCATAATAAATTTCAATTGGTTCATTTTTTTTCATTTAATTTCTTATATACATATTTTGTTCTTCCATAAGTGGTTAAATGTGATTTTATTTACATAAACATCAATTGTGAATACTTAATTCTCTGTAATGTGTACAGAATTTATTATACATAAATTATATATATATAGATCTATATATATATACAGTAGTTATATTACATAATTCTCAAAGCATTAAATGCTCTTGACTGAAAATTCTGACAGAAATCAATATTGTTGCTCTGTCCACATTTCCCTGATTCACAATGTATATTTTGAGCATACCAAGAAAGGTGCTATACACAAATTATATTAAGTCAGATGACTAAAGAAAGAAGAGTTATTTTAGAAATGTATATTTGTTACAGTCTTATATTTTTATTTTTAGTGTTATTTAGTCTTAATTTGTTTATTAATATTTTGTAGTTATATAATTNTAGGTTTATTTTATTTTATTTTATTTTATTTTATTTTGACGTTTTCTGTTTAAAAGTCAGAATTAAATTATTTTCTAAATGTCAGTTTCTTAATATATTATTTTTAGTTACGTCTCGGATCATAATATTGAGTAAAAACGTTAATAATTAATAAATTAAGAAATATCGAAAGAATTAAAAAGACATGGGAAAAGGAGAACAAGAAGCAATTTTGATTTCTGATTCTCTCGTTTATTTTTTTAATGGTCTACATTTTGTAAGTTAATTCAAATAATCAGGAACACTAGTCAAAGCTTATAATAGTTCCATGCATTGAAAAACATGATCATTACATTGTATGGTATTTTCACTTACATAAAAGAAAAAAAAAAACATAATATCAGTATTTGTTGACATCTGAACCACTGCACAATTGTAACTACTTATTAAAATTGTTGTTTATTGGCCAATGTTGTTCTTCTTCAGATGCTATATATAAATGTTGCAGTTATGTGATGCAAAAAGAAAAAAATTAAAAAAAAATCAAGTTGAATAATATATATGTAAAATATATTCTTCCGTTTTTTGTGATGGACACTAAATTTGAAAAAAGAAAAAAAAAAAACAAAAAATTTGTTGTAGTTTTAAAATGTTTAACCATTAAATTTATTTCCTTTACTGCTGCATCAATACTGTGTGTTGAATAAAAGTGCAATATTATATATAAAAGCATAATATGACATTGTTATATCATGTCTATAAATCAAAAAAAATTTTTAAACTCAATACACATATGTGACGGGTTACGTTTCCATTAAGTTCAGTATACGAAGTCCAGTAACGAACAATAGACATGATAAAACAAGCCATTATATATGCCCGTTATGAAGATATAATTGTAATCCACATTGAATATTTTTTACCATTTACTTTTCTTCCCCTTGTAATTATTTTTTATATACCCCTATATTTGTGGCTCCGGCCATATGTTTATGTTGTGATTATTGTAATGTTGCCTTTTCAAAGCAACCTGTTGAAATATCATATCAGGAGACTTCTTGTATATAGTAAAAAAAAACAAAAAAAATATGTTTTATGCAATTTGGCTTTGTGTCTGAGTGGACCAATGCAGTGTATAAGACTGGTTGTTACTTGATAATATAAGCTATTATATTCTGAATAAGCCTATTTGTTTTTATACTTACATACATAAAATTTAACACACACAACTGTATGGTAAATTATATATATAGTTATTTAAAAAATTTTATAAATATATTGATACATGAATGGAAAAATATTGTTATAAAGTAAAATATCAAAGAAATACTTACTTAAAATATACACATTTGTTATTAAACTTTAACAAAATTATATAATAACGAATTTATTATAATTTAATTCAAATGTAACTGAATAAGTTATGTTCTTCGCTCATGTACATGTCTATTCAGTTATTACTGTGCTGATATTTAATAAAAACTGTTAATTATTTAATTTATAACGGTCTCTGCAGCATTATTTTTTATAATAATAAAGAAATCTCTTGAATTTTTAATTTGTAAAAACTCATTGTCATTGAAAACCGTCGTGAATATCAGTCTATTAAAAAAAGTAACAACTGACAGCGCACCCTTTCGAATCGTTAAAATTATTTTTTTAATAATAAAATTTTTTAAATATTATTTTGAATATATATTGTTTTTATTTTCGTAAAAATTCTTAAATTAAATTTTTTAACATTAAAATAAATATTAGCGGATTTAAAATGATATTTCTGAAAATCGTGTATAAAATCGAAAAATAATGCTTGTTTAGCACAGTTAATTTAATAATTAACGGACTGATACATTACATTTTTTTTCTGTTTTTAATAAATTTAAATAATGTCTAACGTTATAATTAAAATTAAGCATAAAATGTTAAAATATAAGTGTATGTTTCCAATGCAAGCGGATACATAGCAATTCAAGTTGAAACGGAAGCAAATGTCACGGATATCAACTTCCGCTATTTGGTATGATCTTTATGATACTGAACTGATAATTTTATCTAATGAAAATTCCTTCTTTATAAAAGAAAGCCGGCATTTTACATTACGCTTCATTATTATACGTTTCTAATGTTTATTGTTGTGCATAAGTTATGTTAATGTTTCACGTTTCATTATTAAAGTTTCTTTAAAGAGATAATTTTTTATAATAAAGTTTTACGTATAAATTTGTTTTTTGGTTATTTTTAAACTAAAATTTAACTAACTTTTAGCACATTTATGTAGTAAACTAAAAACTATCAACTGAAATTGTTTGTTTAGTTATGGCAACGCAACACTTGAGCGATCTGCCCTTAAAAGAAAGACCTCCCGGAAGGGAAATCTTTTTAAAGTGAAAGAAAGTGGCCCCTATTTAGGCGTTACAGACGTGGAGAAAACCCGGAAAACTCCACATGGCCAGCCCGACCGAGCGAGTCGCGAATCTACGACGGAACTCCCAGTGTCAGGGAACGAAGACCGCTTGCCCACTGGTGGACCATCAACTGTAATTAATGTGGAATCATCCCTAAATCATGTAATGCTATTTCTATACTTTTCAATTACTATCCTAAACCCCATGCAACATTTCGTATGGCTGTTGCACATACCTATCAATGTAATGCACATCCTCGAACAATCTACTTAATTGTACTGAACAATAATACCCAGAACGGGTACTGAACATTACATTATTTTATTAATTAATTACGATACATGTGTAACAAAGCATTGACATAAATTGTACGATTCTCTATGCAACACTTCAGAAACAAAAAGAAACCATTCTGTTACTTATGAGTCGATACTAGTTTAATGTAGCATTTTGGTAAATAACACATCCCCTTGTAATGTATTGTAACGATTATATGTGTACCTACCCATCTATATCGGTGTTTCATAATTTATGGATGGACACTGTGCACGCGATCCCGGGCGTACACACACAAATTTATATAGATGCAATGGCGCACCCAGAGGGGAAGCCAAGGGACCCTGACACCTTCCAAAAAGAAAAAATACACTAGAAAATTTTGGCCGTTTGCATCATCGTTTAGCGGATGCCAGAGTATGCATCGGCAAAAAGTCTAAATTGATCGCCCTATTAGTTTTTGAAATAATTGGCTGAAAAAACACTTTTGCTACCATCATATACACAGAGTATAAAAATTTATCTTGGCTATAACATATGCAAATTGTATTAAAAAATTAATTTACGAATGATAAGTCGCGTTAATTTAATCTAATTATATAATACACTAAGAGCGAATACTCTTCAATTTTTTTACATAAAGAAAAAGTTTGATTCACGATTAGATCAGTTATTGACACAGTAACTGACCCAATCGTGGAGATATGATATCGAATTCCGATTACGCAGAATGGAATATATAAATATGATTAAAATTCTGGATCGGATTCGTGATTAATTCTTCAACGACGCAAAAGATTACCTTATTGCATGGTGGTCAAGGTGGCAGTCTACCGATCTGAGGGACCTGGGATCGTATCTGGACTGGGTCGAAAAATCCCCAGGAATTTTTCGGAGATGGTCCGACCGGATATGTTGGCCTCCGTTCCTCATCACCCGGCTTCCCCATTGTGGACCTGGCTGAACCCATAATGAAGCCCTCTTAGTGACTAAAGGACAGAAAGAGGGAAAAGTTATGAAAAAATTACCCAGCCTAATACACGAAAAATTGTTCCTAAAATGTATTGAAGAGTTTTTTAAAGGTTTCTTGCTGCAGTAAGGTTTCAAAATATTCACAAATTATTATTATTATTATTGGAATTATTATTTGTTATGGGTAGTCAGCCCAGTCTTTACCATTCGGCCATCCCATTATAAGCATGATCGAATCTTTTAACCCACTCGTGGTCAATTGGATAAAATCATTGAATACTGCTAGTTGGTTTGCGCTGGACAACCGGTTGGCGACGTAGATTTTTCCGAGTTTTCTTCACGGTAACACCTAAATAGAAGCAGTTTTCCATAAAATATCTCCCGGGCATGCGCTGTGGGTAAGAAGCGCCCTGTGCAAAACCCTTTCAGGGCCCTCAAAATAGGTTAAACATTTAAGAATTTGCAAAACAGGTATCCATATTATTTTCTATTGACATACAGTAATTGATAAATCCACTAGACGCTCTTGAGACATAGTCGACCGCAAATAATTTTTTTATTAATTTTAATTTCGAAAAACTTATTTCTCCTAATGCTACAGATATTGGCAGAGTTAAATAAATGTGTATTACAATTGCTGTGTTTGGAAATGTGTTAGTCAAATTGCTTTCATATATATATATATATAATTTAAAACATCTTGAGGAGCTTTTTTGTAATAACTTTTTTGTAATAAAACAACGTAAAGTTTTTAATTCCTCAAATAAAGTTATACCTTCAATATCGCGACTGTTGTGATTTGAATTGTCACATAGTTTTAAATGCAAATCTTCTTTGTTTTCATCTTCCATAATATCAAAAGTTTTACAAGATATTTTAGCTGCACTATTCATTACGAAATTTAATGAGTGAGCGGCACGTGGAATAAAGAAAGCCCTTGAATTTATTTTGAAAATTATAGTCTCTGTTATGTGCAATCAATAGTGCATTTCTTAATCAATGACTTCTTAAGCTCACTATATTTTGAGCAGTTTTTAATGTGTGCGGAACTTGTCTCGCGAGTTTTTAGTATATGACTCAAATGTTGCCAATCGTATACAACCGTATAATGTATTAAGTTGAGAATGTTGATTGCTAAATAATTTGAAATAATAATAAAAAACCGAATTTCGAGATTCTGAATAAACTAAATAACTTCTTAAAAGTTTTTTCCAAAGTTCGAATTAGAAAATTTGAAACCACATTCATCTCTAGGAAATTCTTTATTAACTTATTAACATTCTATCTTTGATATCTATATCTTACTTAATTAAGAACTTAATTTAACTAATATAAATTTTTGTTTCAAACTTTAAAATTTATCACACAAATTACATTTTGTTAAAGAATTTAATCATTTTCTAATTAAATTAAAAATTATTTACCTTTTTGATAATTATCATAACTTCTTTATTGACATATTTAGTTGGTCCCAAATTTTTTATATTAAAGGCTCAAATTTTTAATGAACATTCAAGTATTATTAAATTTTCAATTGAGCAACAAGTTGTTTGGTATAAAACTGAAAATATTGAAAAAAGTATAAAATTCTTCATGACTTCTCAATGATAGGAAAATTTTACAATAATTTTCACCTCTCTTTTGACAGATTTTATATAAAATCCTTTTAAAAGAAAGGATGTGATATAAAAATTATTTATATATAATTATTTCCTTTCGTATTACTATAGATAATAGTTATTTTAAAGTACTTTATTATTTCTATTTTCCTATTCACAATTATGTACACAAATTATTTTTAAACAAATATATTTTTCTATTTATTTTCTTGACATATATTTGTAAAGACAAATTAAAATAATTTATTATTGCAATAATTAAAAAAAAGAAAAACTATCCCAGATATGTCAGGCCCATCTTTCATTAAACAGTTGCTTCCATTATGAGCCTGACCAAATTTACAATATGTATGATTAAGAAAGGCCCTTCTAGTGCCCACCGGGCAGAAAAAGTTAAAAAAAAACTTATTTTTAGTAAAAGAAAACTTAATTTTTTTAAATGTAAGCAAGATTTTAAGCTACAAATTTACTTAATGATAAAATTATATGTTATTTGGATGCTGTCAAATCTCGATGAAAGGAACCAATTTCATAGGAAGTACATTATCTTTCAGAGTAACAGAATGCTTGAAACATTTTCTTACATCTTAGCATTTACATTCATGTTCTAATGTTTCATGAAATTAATAGAGACTAGAAGTGGAAACCTTAAGGATAGAAGGCCTCGATTAACTATACACGAATATCCGATATAAACCGAAAGCCATGTTATTTCAATTCATAAAGTTTCCCCTGAAAGGTGTTAAGACCCTATTGCCGGCGCGTCTCTATTGTTAAAGGAAAAGTATGATGTACAGGGGCAAATCACTATTATTAACATTTACAATTTTTTTTCTATAAAACCCGTCTCTACATCATGATAAAGCTTTTTGCTATTTTATAATAGTTTCTTTAAAACGTTTTAAAATAAACATGATAAAAGATAGCACCACAAGGTATTTTGAATGTTGTTGCCTGGAAAGTTACGAAATTCGCTACTGTAGTTTTTAGAACAAAAGTTTTTTTAAAATTTCTTCTTATGTGAACAGACGCTTAAGGATATTTTTAGTAAATGATTAAAGAACAGGGAACAGAACAAATATAGAAAACAAAACGTTATTAATTTTATGACTTTTTTATAATTACAAAATTTAAAACTATAATTTTATATTGTAGGAAAATGCTATTGTTCCTCTAGTACTAACCTCGTTTTCTATCTTTACTCATATTTTAGGATATAGTTCCAGGATATTTTGGCTCTATGCGAATTGTTTATGGCTGATGACTGTGAAAACGAGTAAAAGGCTCGAGACAAACTCGTACAATGGTCCGTCGAAATCCCATTTTTTACAGACAAAGATCACGAAATCCAAATTTTTAACATTAAATCGAATCGCTACAACAATAAAATTTTCTTGTTGTTGAGAGAGAATCTATTGTTGACTCATGCAATTATTTATTGCGAGTATTTTTTCGAAGTTTGCTTCATTTGCAGCAATTGTGTAAGTAAGTTCAGACTACGATCTTTCTAGATTTAAATACTTTTTAACTTTGATAAGCAAAATATCACAATTAGCGGTTTTGGTGTTTTAATAAGAATTCATCGGTTTCCTTCAGAGGAATCAATGTTTTCATTTATTTTGATGGAGCCGATTCATTCTTATCATTGTTAATTTTCCAATTGTTAAAGCAAAATTAAGATTAATAAATACTATAAATCTGTTATTGCCCGCTATAGTTTATATATTACATTTGTATATACATTAATATCCCATATGAAATTCGTCTGAATCTTAATTAATTAGAATAATTCGATTCTCGTTTCCTCTATTTTCACAGATGTTTTGTGTTACGGCAGTCAACAGAATAGTGCAATTTTTTATAAACTAATTTCTCTATCGAATATTAAAAATCGTCGAAAAGATTAAAATTATTACATGTAATAAATAGAAATTTTATTATAATATTCAAGGAATTAAAAGAATCATTTTTGCATTAGAAATTTACAATTCAGATTAGAATAGAAATATTTCTTAATGCAAGTTCTTTTTTGATAACATTTGCTCATTTTTCTTTGCAGAATGGATAATTTCAAAGAATTGAAGAAGTGGCACACATCGAGCCATGCCGAGCCCGAGGATAGTCTTCGCCTCGTGTAATACGACAACTGTTGAGTTCTTCGCCGTATTTTTAATCTTTTATCCTCGTCGCCACTGTTGGGTTCTTAGCCACTGTTAAGTTCTTAAGGGAGAATGCACTTTAGAACGTAGTATTTTTATGTAGCAAAGAAACGGTGATAACGGTCGGACAGAACACCGGTCACGTCCTACTCATCTGGCTGACCCGAACAAAAAGACAACAACNTGTACATATTTCAGTTAGTAGAGAGGTTGCGGCCGAAGTTTTCATCTCTCAAACGTGAACGCAGAACGTCGAGCGCAGCTTACAAGATAGCGGCGCTCGACGTTCGGCGTTCACATTTGAGAGATGAAAACTTCGGCCGCAACCTCGCTAGTGTGTGGCTGTCATACATCTGGAGAAACGTTAAAGTAAACAGTGTATACCTCGTAATAGACATGAAATTATTTTCTTTCACGTAAATAGACTAATGAACATCGGTCCATTCTTGTTCTGAGGAAGATTTAATTACTCCCTAATAATTTATACTTTTGCATAATATAAGTAAGGAATTATTCCATTTGAAAATTTGTAATATATTCAAATAGCATAAAACGCCCTCCTAAGTAGTGCCACCCTCATAAAGCACCAATTCGTGAATTTCTATATTGCTCTTCTTTATAAATATTAGAGAACCGTTCAGTATTGTGAATTACCGAATGAATGATTGTATCGTAAACGACATTGAAACTCCCTAACTCAACAATTGTATGTGGATCTACAGTAATTACTACATAAAAATTCTTATTGCTTAAGATACTTCGCTTTAGCGATATACAGTATTTAGTACCAATTGCAGAGGCGAATAAACAACTACGTTAAATCCAAGTTTGACTATATTGTATTTGTATTTCATAAAAATAATTCTTTGTGTTTTAATAACAATGTGAATTGTTGCTTAACAAAAATTATTTTTATGTAAAGTTTAATGATAAAAGAAAATTTATAACGTTTTAAAGTATAGAAATGCAAAACATTTTGAACAGTTTTGCAATATATCGTGTGATCGTAATTAAAGTATTTTTACTTTCCCGGCTGTAATATATAACAGAGGAAAAGTATGACGACCGGTCAAAAAATGACCCCTCCAAAGATTTTTTACATTTTTAGACTTAGGACACCTTGAAACGTCAAGAAATGCAAAAAATCGAGGGTAATTTCTGTATGTATGAATATTTGTGGGGGGGCACGATTTTGTTTACTCTTTGAAGCGTAATAACTCCCGTACTTTTTGTCAAAAATGTCTGAAATTTTTCAGGGTGGTTTGTTTATTAGGGAAATTGATGCTCTTAAATTTTGCTGGTTAAAGGTCGAGGAGGTGAGGAAATAAAGAAAGTCGTGTGTATCGCCAGTAGGGTAGGACTAAATGACGATTTTACTTGTTATTAGCATTTACAACTTTTTATGAAACCTATCCTTACCACCACATTAAGATTTTTGCCATTTTATAATAATTAAAAATATAAAAGTTTTAAAATAATATAATATAATAACAGATGGCGCCACACACGCAGTTTTAAATGTTGCCGGGGAAAGTTAGGCAACTCGTTACTGGATTTTTATTCAATGCTATTTAGAGAGAGATTTTGCTGTTCAAATTTGGTTAAACTTTATGTACGATACTTACAATACTTAATTCACAGTATTGCACGTTAACGATACTTAATTCACACATAAATAGTTCACAGATATCGAGAGCTCTCTACCAAATATTTACTAGAAGGATTCATTTACGAGGTATTTACGGGGCTGGCGCTACTTAAAAGAGCACTATATCGAGGGTTGGAATATATAAATTATAATTTCACTACATTTATCAGAAAAATAAAACATTACTTAAAAATTAGAAGAGTAAACTTGTATAAAAGCAATATTAATAAGATTTGCGAACAGCTGAAATATAATTAAAGTATACTACTTTATCAATTATTTTCTGATAGAAACAAAGGGGACAATATCATTATTTTCATGAAAACAATTATATTTAACACAGATCGGAGGTTCTGGTTTATTTGTTATTGGATACATGACGATGGCTTTCCTATCGAAAAACTATATTTTTGATGAAGATATAAAAACAGACCTTATAGCAATATTTATTATGATAACCGGTGGTGCAATTGTTGTGTTTACTGCTTTTTCTTTCTTTGCTGTATACACGAATAATTTATCAATTATGCGAATGGTAAATATATATTTTACTATAAAGTAAACCTATTTTATTTATTTACTTTTTAATTTTAATTATATTTAAAAGTGCTGCGTTGTCCTTGGATGGATATTGATTGTGCAACTAGAAGCAGGAATTATTTTATATGTAAAAAAGAATGAGGCAAGTATTGTAAATTACAGTATTTTGTATTATATTATATACTAGCTTACCCGTCGCGCATTGCTGCAATCTCAGAAGAAAGAAAATTCAAGCAAACTCGTTATGATAAAATTAAATTTTTATTTTATCATTTTTATTGAAACTTATTATATTATTATTATTAATCATTTTCATCTGGAAAACATTTCAAAGTGTCGTTTCAATTCTATTTATTTATTGGAGTGCTCGTGGATACACGATATTTTTTGTTTTTTCGTCTGGTGCGTACACGAATAATTCGGAAGGTTTTCCGACGCGTGAGCTGGCCACATACAGTTGTCCATGCGAGAAGCACGGATTCTCCAAATTTAGCCCACACACTTGCAGCGATTGTCAAAAGCGCGATATTCCCCATTTATATATATATTTTTAAATCCTTTATAATTTTAATTATTTAATTGCTCCTTCCTCTCTTCCTTGGCATGTTGGGAAATTTCTGATAGTTAGATAATAAACCGTTTTATTGTAATTTGTCTTTTTAAATTATTTCGAGTCGATATTAAAATTTGAAAAAGGGCGATACCTAGATCGGTAAAATAGGCGAATTTCTTCCTACAACTTCGGTCGTTGTTCGGGGTACAGTTAAGATTTTAACGAAGTTCGAGCGAAAACATAATTAGCAAAAAAAGTCGAAATAAAGTGATTAAACAAAAATGATTACAAATATCGTAAATAACAGTTCACAAATGCATATATAGAGACATATATATTTTTGAAGGGGGGAAATGGTCTTCACAATTTGAAATCGATCAAACACACTGTGCGCGAATGCTCGTGTAAACGCGCGCCATCTATCGTAGGATAAATGTACTTCGCGGGAGTGTATTAAAAAATTAAAAAAACTTTCCAAAGTTTTATGGCAATCGTACTATGCCACAAACCTTCGCCAGAGTATATTAAACAACTTCCCAAAGTTTCACGGCAATCGGATAAACGGTGTGGTAATGCATGAAGGACATAGGACACACACACAGACATACATTCATTTTTATATATATAGATGAAGATTTATAGTTATTATCTATATCTACACTATATAAGCAATAAATAAACTTACATTACAGAATAGTAATCAATCATAATTTTATGTGATTTTATTATTTTATACTATTCTCTATACAATAGTTGTAGAATAACATTTCAAATGTATTAATATAGATACAAAAACAATCTCTTAAGGAGGTCTTAAGCTTCTTCAATATATACATACAGTATTAATAATGAACAAATTGTATAGTATAAATTCAGTAATGTCAGGTGATAAAATATTTTAAAGTAATATATATTCCATATTTTGATTAATAAATTTTTCAATATTTAGGCAAAGAATCTAATTAAAGCGAATATGTTTTATTCTTTCAAAACTTACTCGTCAAACAATACTAATCGAATATTATGGGACAAGTTACATAAAAACGTAAGTTGTTTTATGAAAATTTTTCCTGTATTACAATATACATTTTATTATTTAACAAATAAATTTTTAGAAAGAATGTTGCGCAGTTACTGGTTACTTCGATTGGATTTCTCGTTCTGGGAATATAGAATTACCTAAAAGTTGTTGTAAATCTCAAAGCTTGGATAAATGTATTGCATCAATGTCACAGCAAGTAAATTTATTTCCTAACTTCTATCAGTAAGCCCGCTTTTTACGACCTAATCGATTTTTGGTAACTCGTCGTAAAGTGAACATTTAGCTGGATGCCATAAAATTGTGATTACGTTCTTGAAAAAAATACGTTCAAATCTCTCTATAGCGATATTTAGCCAAACGAGAAATGTTGTAGAGAGATTTATTCTTATAGTGAAAATTTTTAAAGTATCTTTCTACTGGAAAAAAGGACCTAAAATTAAACTAATTCTAAAATATAATGCTTTAAGGCGAATGCTCTTTTGTATTTATTTTAATGAGTGTAACTTGCAATACTAAGACATTCCTGTAAGCTTTCTAAGAGAACTTCATTGTGTCAAATAAGTTTAACATAACAAAGTTCCTCAGAAAATTACATAAGGATGTCTGTTGAAAATTATACAGTTTCGCTGAAAAGCCCACATTTTANGACATACATTCATTTTTATATATATAGATGAAGATTTATAGTTATTATCTATATCTACACTATATAAGCAATAAATAAACTTACATTACAGAATAGTAATCAATCATAATTTTATGTGATTTTATTATTTTATACTATTCTCTATACAATAGTTGTAGAATAACATTTCAAATGTATTAATATAGATACAAAAACAATCTCTTAAGGAGGTCTTAAGCTTCTTCAATATATACATACAGTATTAATAATGAACAAATTGTATAGTATAAATTCAGTAATGTCAGGTGATAAAATATTTTAAAGTAATATATATTCCATATTTTGATTAATAAATTTTTCAATATTTAGGCAAAGAATCTAATTAAAGCGAATATGTTTTATTCTTTCAAAACTTACTCGTCAAACAATACTAATCGAATATTATGGGACAAGTTACATAAAAACGTAAGTTGTTTTATGAAAATTTTTCCTGTATTACAATATACATTTTATTATTTAACAAATAAATTTTTAGAAAGAATGTTGCGCAGTTACTGGTTACTTCGATTGGATTTCTCGTTCTGGGAATATAGAATTACCTAAAAGTTGTTGTAAATCTCAAAGCTTGGATAAATGTATTGCATCAATGTCACAGCAAGTAAATTTATTTCCTAACTTCTATCAGTAAGCCCGCTTTTTACGACCTAATCGATTTTTGGTAACTCGTCGTAAAGTGAACATTTAGCTGGATGCCATAAAATTGTGATTACGTTCTTGAAAAAAATACGTTCAAATCTCTCTATAGCGATATTTAGCCAAACGAGAAATGTTGTAGAGAGATTTATTCTTATAGTGAAAATTTTTAAAGTATCTTTCTACTGGAAAAAAGGACCTAAAATTAAACTAATTCTAAAATATAATGCTTTAAGGCGAATGCTCTTTTGTATTTATTTTAATGAGTGTAACTTGCAATACTAAGACATTCCTGTAAGCTTTCTAAGAGAACTTCATTGTGTCAAATAAGTTTAACATAACAAAGTTCCTCAGAAAATTACATAAGGATGTCTGTTGAAAATTATACAGTTTCGCTGAAAAGCCCACATTTTAGCTAAATAAAGTAAAATTGATAATTAATTTGAAGTGCTAAACAAAAAACGAGGTGCTAAAATACCAAAAACACGCTAAATATGGCAACCGTGATCTCATCTGTACTAACTGCGGGTAATGTTTTTGAAGAATCTGTGTATTAAGAGAGTAGCACATTTTAATTCCAAAAAACGATAGCTAAATTAAAATTAATCAGCATTTAATTTATAGCATTATTACCGTTGTGGAGAAAGGAAAATATTGTATTTTAGGAGTAAAGCATAAATAAATAAAGAATAAATAAATAAATGTATCGCTAAACAGAGATGATCACATTAGAGGATATTCTTCAAGCGGGAGAAGTTTTACATTAAGATAATATGAATTTCGTAGGAAACTATATTTCTTATTGTTATGACAAGATTTGTCGTTAAATTGATAGTCACTGTAGTTTGAATTCAAACATATTGTACAGTGGTGGCGACGAAAATAAAGGAATTTAATACAGTCGTAAAAGAAAGTTGTAACTACAGTAAGACCATGCTTAACGCTGCCTCGATTAACGCTGATTCGAAATAACGCGGTCTGTTCGAAGCCTAAAAATAGCTCAAAATTTACGTTAATTCAAATTATCGCGGCATTTCATTGATTCGTATATAATACGATTATCTCCAAACACGAACCAATCAGCAAAAGTGGCAATTCGTCGTAGCGCCGTACTTTCCTTAAAATTATGTTTGTTTAGTGCAATTTTGGAAAAAATATAACATCATGGATGCCATAGGAAATATCGAATTCGCTTGGCAAGAATTAACTAATAAATGTATGAACGAAATGTGGAAGAAGTTGGCTAAAGGTATCCAAGAATTCTCAACGAGAAGAGTCTATCGCTATATCGTTAGGTTGACCAAATTATCAACCTAATCGATATAGCAAGACTAGGAAATGTAGACGAGCAGGATATTTAGGAGTTACCGCAGGTTTCTGGTGAGAACCTTACCAACGACGACCTTCAAGAACTGGCAGAACAAGAAATTCATGTAGAACTGGAAAATAGTGATTCTGAAAACGAAGAACCAAAAGAATTTTTCTACAGATTTCCTTAGTTAAAGTTTGGTAACGATAACCGAAATCGTTAATCAAATTGTAGCAAATGATCCAGATTTGAAAGGAGTGCAAAAGTAAGAGGAGGCGTTTTGGATGCGATCTCTTGCTACCGACATTTGCTTAAAGAAAGAAAAAGAAAGAGACAAATGAAATTATACGACTTTATCGCAAAAATAAGAATTTCAGAAGAGCCAAAACCTTCATCACAAAAAATGAACTTTACATTTCTGTATGCATATGTTTGTGTTATTTAACATATATTATTATGCAAATTAATATAAAAATAACTTTAAATTAAAGTAAAATCTGTTTATTTTTGGTCGCATGTTTCCCTTTCCCTATTTAGTCTGTGTAAAAATGACCTCGTTTAGCGCTTTGTCATCTAGGAAGGTATCCCCCGCGTTAAGCGGGGTCTTACTGTATATCAAACGTAAAAGTGGCGGTGTAAACAGGTCTTAAATCGGGGTTTACTAAATCTAGAATTACAATATATGATTATGATATTTTCTTAAAAACTTATTTCTTATTTTTCTTAGGAAACAATATTTGAAACAGGATGTTATGATAAAATTATGATGGATGTGAACTATAGAATCAAGTTATTTGAAATAAATAATTCTACTGTTGTTGTAATAGGAGTAACTATTAGTATTTTTTCTCCAATTATTTTTTGAAATATTTATAAAATTACTTACTTAAAATAACATTTTTATACAGCTAGAAAGCATATTATTTGGACTTCTTTACGTTCGAATTAAAAATAATATGCCACAAGAAGAAAGAAGCGAATCGTTCGAAACCGAGGAGGAAGAAAGTTCGGAATCTGAAGGATAAAAAGGATAAAATAATCATTAAATTCGAATGAAAATATATTTAATGAGAATAAAAATAAAATTAATTGTTTTTATAGGAATGTAATTAAATACATTTTTAGTTTTATCTTATCATTTATTTTAAAGATTATATTAATCTATATATATAAAAATGAATGTATGTGTGTGTGTCCTTCATGCATTACCACACCGTTTATCCGATTGCCGTGAAACTTTGGGAAGTTGTTTAATATACTCCAGCGAAGGTTTGTAGCGTAGTACGATTGCCATGAAGCTTTGGAAAGTTTTTTTTAATAAACTCCCGCGAAGGTTTCTGGCATTTACCCTACGATAGATGGCGCGCGTTTACACGAGCATTCGAGCACAGCGTGTTCATTCGATTTCAAATTGTGAAGACCATTTCCCCTCTCCAAAAAATATCTCTATATATGCATTTATTATTTACGATATTTGTTATAATTTTTGTTTAATCACTTTATTTCAACTTTTTTTTTTTTGCTAATTACGTAATCGCTCGAACTTTGTTAAATCTTAACTGTATCCCGAACAACAACCGAAGTTGTAGGAGGAAATTCACCTATTTTACCGATCTAAGGATCCCCTTTTCCAAATTTTAATATCGACTCAAAATAATTTAAAAAGACAAATTACGATAAAACGGTTTATTATCCAACTCTCAGAAATTTCACAACGTGCCAAGGAAGAGAGGAAGGAGCAATTAAATAATTAAAATTATAAAGGTTAAAAAATATATATATAAAAATGGGGAATATCGCACTTCTGGCAATCGCTGCGAGTGTATGGGCTAAATTTGGAGAATCCGTGCTTCTTGCATGGACAACTGTATGAGGCCCGCTCACACGTCGGAAAACCTGATTTATTCGTGTACGCACCAGGCGGAAAAACAAAAAATATCGTGTATCTACAAGTACTCCAATAAATAAATAGAATTGAAACGACACTTTGAAATGTTTTTTCCATGAAAATGAATAACAATAATAATAAGTTTCAATAAAAATGATAAAATGTAAATTGAATTTTATCATAACGAGTTTGCTTGAATTTCCTTTCTTCTGAGATCGCAGCAATGCGCGACGGGTAAGCTAGTATTTAAATAAATATGAATAATGATTAATTCTTGCAATAATTTTTATGGGCATATTAAATTGCATGTTGAAGTGGCCATGTTTGGATAGACAAGCAATACCATAGATAAAAACTAAAAAGAATTATTTATTATTGACATAATTTTCAATAAATCTATTGATTATAGGTGCAACAAGAAGAGGCATAAAGAGACATAACCATATAGGGCTATATCTCTTTATGCCTCTTCTGGTTACGTCTCTAATCGCATTAATGTTACTTAACTGCGCGTATGGCGCAGTTAATTAACAGTAATGACGTAGAGAGGTATTGAAGTTTATCGAGTCTGACATTTTCTTGGCTCTTAATTCTTGACACATAAATCAGTAATAATAATAAGTGTCGTCAAACTTATGGAGGAAAGAAGAGCTGCTTGAAAAAAGTGAACTGTGCATGCTAAAATTCGATTTTTGTGGGCTATTAGAGCAACGTTCTACTTTAAAATAGCAGTTCGAGTACTGTACTTTGCTTGGAAATATCGAATGTGAAAGCGTATCTGCACGAAATAACTTTCAGTTTACCTTTCAAGTGTGACCTTGGAATGAAATCACAATCCAAAAAGGCTTACTACAAACTAGCAAGTGCTTCGAAACTTTTTGCAATTTTTAATTCGTGTTTCCACTCCAGCAGTTTTTGCTTATTTTTGAAAAATAATTTTAAGTTTATCTTCTGGAACTGCTTTACTTTTACATCGTGCACACTGCAATATTTCCTACTTCGAGAAAGTTTAGTCTGCAATTCTAATTGTAACGTTAAGCATTATTAACTTAGTACCTTCATGTATTTGATGTAATGTCTACTCTTGTTCAGTTCTAAAGAGAAATAGTCATTTTAGTTGCCAATTCAATTATTTTTTGAAAGTTTATTAAAAAATACCAGGAAGAAATATATATTAAAAAACTGTAGACTAAATACAAATAAAATATTTGATGTCTTCACAATCACAGTAATACAATTAACATTAGCAGAGTTGGCCTTTCTTTTGAGGCTCTTCTCTACTTACAAATATGTAAATTGATTAAAAGTCCGCTGGCAGCGGATTCTTTTTAAAAAATTTTCAATAAATATTTTTACAAGCAGATCGTCCACGTGTCGCGTTGCTGAAACGAATAAACCAAGATTTCTCCCTGTGAGTACTAACATGGCCTTTCATAGAAATGCTTTCATAGGTTCACACAGGCCCACAATGCAGCCCGGCATATCCGGACAGATAACTCTAAGAAAACTTCCGAGTTTATTTGAATTTGATCTCTGATTCCTTCAGAGCGGTTTACTGTCACCCTAACCGCTCGACCCGTCCCGTAATTACACTATTCTAATACTGTTTAGTTATAAAGTAATAATAAATACTTTGATTTACAGAATACCAGCACACATGATAGACCTCAAGCATCAAACAAGAGTGCTATGAGTACTCTTCAGGTGTCTATTTGTTGCATATCGTTTCATCATTGCTTGATACGATACAGTACAACGTGTTAAATTCTATCTCTGTATCATCGTTACGTTAAAAACAGAAAAGTTTCAGCCTTCTAAATCCTATGACATGAAACCAATGATCACTACAGGCTCTTGAATGTAAAGACAATTAGGAGAATATAATGATCGTGGGTTTTATACAGTCAGAGGGTTGCTCCATAAAATCAATGGTGAAGCTAATAATATATATATATACTGTATATATTTTTTACATTAAATTTGTTTATTCATTTTAAACTCTTTCCGTTTTGTGGGTACTAATAGTGGGGTGTTCAGCCAAGCCTGTAATATGGGCAGCGGATGGTGAAAGATGAGACTCGACATTTCCGAAACAAACCACTCATGAAAAATTTCCAGGGATTGCTCTCCTGGATTCGATTCCGGATTCCCCAGAGCGGTAGGCTGGCCTGTCTATCCAATTAGTTATTTTCCGTGTTTATTTATTACCAGATTACTTTCCGTGTTTTTTATTTGCGAAATAAATAAATAATACAGCAATAAATATTTTACTTTCGAATATTATATTTATCATAATTTATAAATTAATTTTATTAAACCTTTTCTGAAATGATTCTTGATTCGATTAAATATTCTGCAATGTTAAATAATTAATTAATTAATTTCATTTTGTTAATTTTGTTAATATTTAATCCTTTATGATATTAAATAATAATAATTTATGACAATATTGTCTCTTCCATAATATAAAAAATGTATTATTGAGTCAAAAATATTGTTATTAAAAATGTAATTCAGAAATGAATTATTTATAAGTAATCTCTAAGTTAATATTTAAAAAAATAATATTTGTTGCTTAAAAATTATAATTTATTTAAAAAATGCCTAAAGAAGCTAAATGTTCAGTTGCTCGATGTGCTCTGTATTCTAGTAATGCTCTGATCATGGTAACATCAATTGCCGTTTCTGTCTTAATTATTCATTGATTACAGTAATTTACTTATATAGTAATACATTATAATCACTTAGCATACTATTTATTATATACTATATGTAAACAGAATTACCCAAAAGTTAGTTGACAGTTAACAGAAATAAAATTTAATTTTTAAAATATACGGTAACAACAGTTAACTGATTTTTGGACTAGTTTATATCAGTAGCGGATCTATGATACGATATTAGTGAAGCTAAAGATTTATGGTTTCTAAACTAGGAGGGGCAGCTTTTTTTGGATGTTACCCTATTATTGCTGGTTGCGAAGGAGATCCCATAGCAGTTCACGCTTCAGGGTATCAAAAAATAGATCCGTCACTGCCCTATATAATGGCAATTATTTAAAAAAAACTAATAAATTTTTTAATAAAAATAGCTCGGAAGTAATGCGCTTGTAGTTATAGGAATTTTGTTACGGGTGTTTATGATTAACAAAGACACATTTACTAATAAATATATTCGTCTTTTTCCGATAACTATTATAATATTTGCAATAATAATTTCTGTTCTGGCTCTTGTTTCTTCTTGTTCGGCATCGAAACGAAATGCATGTTGCTTAACAACGGTAAAAATTTGTATTTTTAATCAATATTTTTAATTGTATGTACAGTACACTGTATTAATTAAAACAATTAATATTTTTAGTGTTGTATAATAATTGCTTGGATATTAATTACGCAAATTATATTAGGAATAGTTATATCTGAGAAAAAAGAAATGGTAAGATAATATTTTAATTTTTTTTATATAATATATCTTGAATACTAAAATTAATTCCTCTGAAATTAATATATTATTTATGAACGTTTTAAACTTATAAAGATTTTTTTTCAAATTTTTTTCTTAATTAATTTTAATTTTATGTGAATTTGCTAATAAACACACAAATCAAAAACTTTCTTTTTTAAATAAATTATTCATGAATCAATTCATTATTTAATATTTTAGATATATAAAATCATTAAATACAACATGGCAGATTCACTGAAGTATTTCGTACAGAAAAAAAGCGTCAAAATAGAGTGGGATATATTAACTATAAGCGTAAATTACATTTATTTTGAGAGAAATTCCAACGATTATATCTAATTAAATTAAAAATTTTAGAAAAATTGTTGCGGTGTAGAAAATTATAAAGATTGGGAATTTCTTTTTGGAGATCATCAGTTACCGGGAGCTTGCTGCTTTGAACCTGGTTTCTATTGTGACATTTCAAGACCAGGAGACGTATACAAACCCATTCATTTCAAAATTTACTTTATAACTTCATGAAATTTTCATAGTTTAAAAACATTTCATTATCATTTATTTATAGAAAGAAATATTTCAAACTGGATGCTATGAGAAAATAATGTATGAATTCAAATACGGAATATATTTATACGAGATAATAAATTTGATAGTTTGTATATTCGAGGTAATAACATTGTAATTCTTTATTATTTTTTGAGATATTTAAAAATAATTTATCAAAGTCTGAAGTGATTTGCATATGCATCACATAGACTATATGGCTGGCTTCGTTTATGCCATTACAGGCAGGATTACCTCAAAATAGGATGATCAGCATGGATGGTGAGGGAAATAACATTCTATGGTAAATTATGAGGATCTGCATTCCATAATATCTCATAACTTAAGACTAGCATCTTATTTCTCTAAATTTTGAAGAGACTATGTTTTGAATTTTTTCAATGTCGTAAAAAGATTCAAAATTAAAAAAAATATATATAGCATATATACAGGGCCTCTTACAGGGTAACGATCCGAAACAAAATGCATATTGAAGGCCTTACAGCGAATTAAATTACTGTGTTATATATTATGTTTAATATAAAATATATATGAAAATAAAGGAAATAAACGAAATAAACATTGTAAAGGGGCCTTACTTCCTGAGGGCCCAAGATAATTTTCTTCTTTTGCCCCCCGGGCTTCCTTGTTAACATATTAGCAATATTTTCTAGAATAAAAATCATAATTTATGTCTAAATTCTAAGAATTGAATTTTTACAGCTATAAATTACGAAATTTTTTGCGAGATGTAATAATGCTGTATTTACAACGGGAATTAATTGGTGATTAAGAAAATATTAAATCACTCTTCAACGTTTTTAATTAGTTATAGCTATATTTTTTTATCATTCAAAATTTCTTCTATTTTATTGAATTACTTGATAACTTCTTATGCTGGCATTAATAAAGAACAATAAGAAAAAACAGAGAACAGTTCGAACTGTAATCAATGAAAGCCAATTTAGATACAACGGCATTAACAAATATACCAATTTAATGAGAGTAATTGGCAAGGTCAAAATAGATATTATTTTCTTTTATGAAAACTACTTATTATACAAAAATAGATAGAGTGATCAAGAATACTCACAATAAGACTTAATATGGCTACCTTTGTTATCATCATTGTTGATCTATATGTTACCGCTAAATCTCGAAATCCGTTAATGTGTACATTACGTAGCTAATCTGCAGATTAACTAGGGTAATCCGTTAAAGCTGCGAAAATTGTTCAATTTCTCAAATTACCTAGGTAATTTGCAGAGTATCTAGGTAATCTGCACATTAACGGCTTCCGTATCGTTAAAGTTCAAAAGTTTGTTTCTTTCACTTCCTTTCCCCACTCCTTCTTTTTACGTAGATAAATTTAAATCCTAGAATGCAAGCAAGCACCGAATTGGTGAGTAAAATCAAGAAAAGATTCTTCGCAAACCTCTTTAGCGAAGATTTAAAATATAATACGTAGTGTTTTAATAACAAACCAAAGTATGATTCCATAATTGAAGATGTAAAGCAAATAAAAGTTTCCAAGAAGAAAGAATCATCTCGAGATTATCAAATAATTCAAAGGTGTGATGTGTTGACTGTACGAGGCTGTGAAAAACTCATTGAGCCGTTGTCAGATGCGCGAGAAAGGTTTGAAAAAGTTTGTCCATGCCGGAGAATTGTTTGACATTCGATAAAAACTGAAGAAGACCTTGAAAAATTAGAAGATTCACAAGAGACTGTGATTATGAGATCACAGTCAAATCTTACTCAAGAGGACATTCCGTTATCCCCCGCTTCTACAGAATCACCTATAGAAATACAAGAATTTACCGATAGTAATCTTAAACTGCCTTCTATACCGTTGATTGATGATGCAGTCACGAAGAATATTCAGTTACCCTGCACCTCCAAGGAATCGCCTCTGCAAGTTGAAGAAGTCATCACTGAGTTACTCTCAACTTCAGCAGAATCGCCATCACAGTTTCGTACGGAGCCTGTAAAGAGCACTATACAAGACATAGTCTGTATTGTTTGCTCAAAAGCAGCATCAAGTGCTCACAAGTGTAAATCGTGTAATATGTTTGTTCACGCAGTTTGTGGTGAAGTAGATCCTAAAGAGGAAGGGTATGGTAAGAATGTATTGTGCATCATCTGTAAAAAGAATATGGATCAGAAAATACAGCGTGATGAAGCCAAGAAATGTTTAGAAAAGCAAGCAAAGAAAATGTTAGCAGTTTCTAATGCAAAGCACCCAAACGTCGATGAAGGTTTCGCTGTGAGAATTAAAGTACCCGAAGAAGACAGAGCAAAAACTGATGCACGTTCAATTTTAGCTGTGGTTCTTAGTAAAACAGAGGATGGCTTTTATAAACTTGATACTAAAACAGGTATTTTAAAACAATTGTATGCAAAATCTGAATTCAGTGTTTGCAAAGAGAGATTTTTAACGAAAGAAGATGGATGTCCCTGCTGTAGAAATATCTTTACGTCAAACAGCAATAAAACAATCCCTTGGTACTGGGCAGGGTTTCAGAAAATGTGACTGCAAATCTAAATGTACCACAAATAGGCGTGCTTGTCGCAAAAACCAATTGCTACGTAATTCAAAGTGTCACCAATCTTTAGATTGCACTAATAAGTAAGTACAATTTTATCATATGTTTTGCAAATTCATTTCCCTAATTGTAGTAATATTTTAAACCGTTTGATTTTTGTATTAAAGTTTTTTTAATTGATTGATGATTGATTCAATCAACTAATTTGTTGATTGTATTAACTTGATTCTTTAGATATTGAAAATTAAATAAATAACATTATGTTAATTTAAGCGTACAGAAACGTTGCTGTTGTTCCAGCAAAAATCTTATTTTCACTTTACCGAGTGCCTAGTAGGTAATTTGCAGATTACCTAGATAATTTGAACATTACCTAGGTAATTTGAGAAATGGAATAATTTTCGCAGCTTTAACGGATCACCCTAGTTAATCTGCATATTAGCTAGGTAATGCGCACATTAACGGGTTTCGAGCTTTAGCGGTAACATATATATAAATTAGGGGAGGAGTCGGGCAATGACAACCAGTAAGAAACATTTTTCATGTCAAGTTTTGAGTAGATATAAAAATAAGCTGTATCTATTGTGTACAGTACTCGTTTCTACTCATAATTTTTATAGTATATAGCGTATAATAAAAATACATTGGAAGAGAGGACAAATCTCCGGTGCAAAAATATTGAGGGACACGACTCTTCTGCGTTTTGTGGATCGACACCCGTGCATATAAGAGTTAATAAGATGACAGTTTTTCATATAAATAAGTTATTTTGTAGATAATAGCATCTATATTTTTATAATTAGTACAGTATTAAAAATATTTTCACTACAGAAGGCTAAAATTTTTCAATATTTTTTTCTTACGTTAGTTTAAAACAATGTTTATTTTTTGCCTTATAAATTTTGCAAAATTCTTAATATTATTTTCAAAACATAATTAAATTTTATTTTATTTAATTAAAATGCCTCAATGTCCTTTTTCTTACTAAAATATAAATTTTCTTCTATAATAACGTATCTTCTATTACCAGGACTTATTATACTGGCACTACAGAAAATATTACAAAGTTTTACAGAAAAACATTTTTTATTTTACTTAATATACCTGGACACATACATAGTTTTGCGTTTCGAACACTCTTGTCCCTCCTCAGCAGGTATTTTTGCATATTCTATAACAATAAAATAAGTATTTAAAATTACAATTAAAATTCCCGACAAAAGGTTTAATAAAATTCTCAGTAAAAGTCTTACAATTTTAAGATTTTCATTTATTTTTACCACATATTATATTTCATACTTATTGGTGTTACTGATTTATAATTAATTGTTTTTGGTATTTGTATAGGTTTCACATATTTTTTATAAATCAATTTATCTTCTTTTCTCTCTATAGTTATATCTAGATAATTAATACTATTTTGTTTCTCTATTTCTATTTCAAATTTAATATTTTCTTTTATCTCATTAGCTTCCTTTATAATTATTTGTTCATTTGTTTTTCTTGTATCATATATTATAATACAGTCATCTACA